TGATCCTCACACTGTGCCACTAGAATGATTAGCCCCATATTCTGATGAGGACACCAAGGCACAGAGAGGACCAGTGACTTGATCAAGACCACTGAGCTAGGAGGTGGTGGCCTTGGGTCTTCTACCTCTATCCATCTGCCTGCAAGCCCTTGAAAGAGCTCTGCTTTCCCGCTGCAGAGATGCCAGACCAGGGGTGTCTCTCTGCCTCTTCTATGCAGGTGGGCAGGCGGGCAGGCACCTGCTGTGTGATGCTGCTGGATCTGCATCTGCTGTAGCAGGAAACTGGGGTGCAGCCCTGGGACTGAGGCGGTTCTGCCCCTTTCCAGCTGTGTGGTCCTGGGCAAAAGGCCCAGTGTCTCCGAGGTGCCTTCTCATCACCTGTCAAAGGCAGATAATAAATCTTTCCTCTTGTAGCCATTGAGAGGATTAAGCTGGATTAGGTATGTGGAAGTTCTTTGTAGCTGGTAATGCCCTCTGCAAATATTAGTTATTATGCTGTTACATTTTCCCTTAATAACCCAGAGCTTGGGATATAAAAGCCTTCCATGTCCTTTATGAAGACATCTCCTAGGAGCTAACCTATTTTATGTCTTTCTTGTTCTCGTGGTTATAGTGGGTTCAGCACTGAAATACTTTTAAAGTAGTCTTAAATGACTTTTAAAAAACAAACCAACAAATCACTCCTCTTGATGTTTTGAGAATCCCCAGAAACATCAGTGATACAACTATGGTGTGCTCCCCAAACCCCAGGAGGCTGCTACTGTAACCATCCCCATCTTACAGATGAAGAAATGAAGGCACAGCTGGGTATGGCGCTTGCGTAAAACCACAAAGCTAATAAGCCACAGAGCCAGACGAGGTCACAGACACAGGCCGTGTGGCCCCAGGGCACACACTTCTAAGAACTACACCACTCGGCTTCTCTTCATGCGTGTTTCCAGGTCAGCTTAGGGGGTGGTGAATTTCCCGGGGTGGCTCAGTAAAACCTACATTTCTGAATACCTCAGTATGGAGTCTGGTGTGTTCAAGAATGAGAACTCGAAGAGGAAAATGCTCTACGGAACAATCTGATTTCGTGATGGCAACACTGAATGAACAGGGAATCTCAAAGACTTTTGGTGTATTATTCCCGTGTGTTGCTGGTAGGTTCTTAGGTGGGCATTCCAGGTTTCAAATGAATCCACAGGTGAAAAAATGAGGTGGAGGCAGAATGCCAGAAGACAATATTGGGGCGGGGAGGGGGTTCCTCTTTGTTCCTTTCCTACCTCTGCCACAGACTGGGCTGGCCTTTAACCCTCTGGAGCCTCGGCTTGGGTGTCCACTCGTAAATGTGCTTCTCGGGTTCACCCCCACCCCATGTTGCAGAGTTTTCTGCTCTCTTCCTCTGCCAAGTTTCCCTGAAGATTTCTGGTGGTCCCAAGTGGGTGTCACCAATACCCCTCCCCGAGTACCGTCAGCCCCCATCTGACACTGGCTGTTTTCCTCTCTCTTTTCTTTCACTCTCGTTTGTAATGCTGCCCACAAAGCTGGCTGAAGGTGCCTACCCCAGCCACTGCTATGGGGGTTGCCCCCTACTCAGGGTTGCTGTACCCCAAATTTCATGACACTACCATCATGTGCCACTAATTCACTTGAGTTTCTCACCGGCCTGGGAAGGTTCTGCCCTTGGCCCACTCACTTCCCTTTCCGTTAGGTAATGAATTCACACAACAATGATTTATTGTTGCCTGCTGTGCCAGGCACTGCGCTGGGTCCTTGAGATACAAAAGTGCAGTAGACACTCTCCCTCCTTCGTGGACATGATGTGTGGGAAGGAAGAGGAGATGGTAAATGAGTAGATTATAACACAATGTCTTCAAAGCCTAGAGATGCTGGCAAGTAGACATAATGTCATTAAGGACATCTTCAATCCGTAAAACAAAGTATTTCTCCACCAAGACGCTAATCAGAAAGTCCCCAGGGAGACCTGGCTGGTGTCCCAAGGGCTTTCTGCTGCAGGCCCACTCTTTCCCAAGAGCTTTTCAAATAAATGCCTGGAAACAGGCCAAAGTTCTCTTCTTTAAAACAAAGATGGCATTTTCCTCTGGATTCTGCGCCAGCATATTCTCTTTTTCCCAGCCTCAGCATCCCACCTTGATTTCCACAGTGAGCCCATTTGCAGTAAGGATCCTGTTTCCCTAAGAAGCTCTCTCTGTATGTCACCAGATGACTGTATGAGTATCTCTACTCCATCACATTCAGATAAAGAGGAACTGAGATCATGTCAGTTAAAAGACTCCATAGGGGCACCTGGGTGGCTCAGTCGTTGGGCGTCTGCCTTCGGCTCAGGTCATGATCCCAGGGTCCTGGGATCGAGTCCCACATCGGGCTCCCTGCTCCGTGGGAAGCCTGCTTCTCCCTCCCCCACTCCCCCTGCTTGTGTTCCCTCTCTTGCTGTGTCTCTCTCTGTCAAATAAATAAATAAAATCTTTAAAAAAAAAAAAAGACTCCATAAACTGAGCAGCACTCTAATTGGCAGCTGATATTATTATTACTATTGTTAAAATCACTATAATAATTATTATTCCCACAGAAGTTATGTGATGAGCCCAAGGTCACACGCGGAGGAAGCGGAGATGCAGAGACCCCCGCCCCCACATCAAGCACACGGCGGAGCTCCCAGCATTTCAGAGACCCATGCTCTTGGATGCAGAACTCTCCCACATCCGGTATCTAGTGGCATGCTCGAGCTTCCAGGACCACTGCCAAACGACACTGCCTGGACCGCGCCCCATGGACACCGCAGCTCCTTCCCAGGCACGCCAGCCTGAGCTACCGTCGCCGAGGTGTGCCAAAAACACAGCCTGCATTTATTTTGTTTAATTCTTACACTATGTTTCAGCCTCTTCCTAAATGCATCCGTTTGCAAAAAGAGCCACGAGGGGAAGTTCAGCCCACAAATAAGAATATAATTATTACACGGTTTAGCGGTACCTGGGCGTCACCCGGGGGTATTCACCAGTGCTCCGAAATTCAATCGTTTCTCCTTCAAGACAGTATTTAATAGGATAAACAATTTCTGCTAAATGCAATAAATGTGAACCTGGGCTGTCATCTCCATAATCAACTTAAATTTCCCATTAGAAGCAGTGGCTGTGATTGAGATTCGGAATTTAATTTGGCGGGGCTGGCTTCAACGCGCTCGGGCGGGCTTCCTGGGAGCCTCCCATCAACCAAAGACAGAACCACTCTTTCCCGTCTCTGGGGAACCTTAAAAGAAGATAGATTATAACTCAAGAAAATTATACAGCTTCGGTATAATGAAAGAGATAAAACATTATTGGATTAGCCTGTTGAAATAACAGCAGACGGCAAAGCAATAATATCAAGGCAAACAAGGGCCCAGGCCCGTCAGCTCAGTGGGAGGGCCACGGGGATGAGAGAGGGCAGGCCCACGGCCCACCCACACTCTTGCTGCCACCACCCCCGGCCGTCCGAATCGGCTCCTTCCCTGGGTTGTTCTATTGACTCCATTCCAGATGGCTGGGCGGGCCACACTGGTGGGTGGCGGTGACCCACTCCGTGGCGTCATGGATGTGTGAAGGTCTTAGGCCCCAGCACCTAGCCCAGAGGCAAACTGAAGCAGATGATGCGGCTGAGAACAAACTGGTGGAAAATGAACAGGATTAACCAATTCACCTTCAACCATTTTCTCCCCCCACCAATTTGATTTCCACAAATTCACGTGAAGTTCTGCAACCAGACAGGGAGCGTCCAAGAGCAAACAAAATCCGAAGGGCTGTTTCAAGGTGATGGAATGAATGAGAGCCATAAAGCCTGAATGATCACTTGACTCAATCTAAAAAATCAAAATATTTTGGTTTTTAGTAACCTAAAGATCAACTAACTGCCCTCTTATGCTCCCTCCTCAAGCACCTCCCTCACCCAGGTAAGATTTGGATGAAAGCACGAGTGAGGGAAGAGGAACGTACAGAGGTAGGGGAAGGTACACATTGCACGCTGCCCCAGAGCCGTCAACTTGAACTTCTCCTTGATATGTTTCCTCTTCCAGCCACTACAACATTTTCCTTCCTTACTTTCCCCCTTCCTTCCTCCCTTTCTCTTTCCTTCTCCCCTTCCATTCTTTCCTCCCTCCTCCCTCCCTCCTCCTCTTCCATTCCTTCCTTCCTCCCTCCCTCCTTTCCTTCCTCCCTCCTCTTCCTTCCTTCCTTCCTTCCTTCCTTCCATTTCCCTTGCTCTTTTCTCCAGCTCAGGACCTTCTCTGGGCACCCACTCATGTCACAATAATTCAGCTCTGCCCCAGAACTCCTGCTTTGGACACGCACAACTTCACCCTTCCTTTGCTCAGCATCAAAGGGAGCTGAGGAACCAGGATCCACTCTCCTCAGGATGCAACGGGTGGAGGCTGTCAATAACACACACACACACACACACACACACGCACACACGTTCTTCTACATTTTATTTCATAAAAAATTCTTGTCAGTAAGCCCATTTACCGAGAGGAAGGGAACATGACAGTTAAGAGTCTAAACCCCTGGAGCCCAAGTGCCCGGGTCTGCAGCTCAGATCTGCCACTTCCTAACTGCACAACCCTGGACAAGCCACCGAACTGTTCCAAGTCCCAGCTCCCGTGGCTGTTGGATACACAGCTTGTAAGGCTATCATGAGGCTGGAATGAATTAACACACTGAGCACCGTGGCGAGCATCGTCATCATTCAATACATATTCACCACCATTGTCAGTGAATGAGACCATGCAGTCTTCAAGGGAGGAACAACTTAATATCTACGCACTGATTCACTATTGGGCACCTACTCTGTGCCAATCACTGCTAGACAGTAGGACATCAGTGTGAACAACTTCTAACAGTTCCTGGCTAGCAGTGCATGTGAGTGGAATAAAACTAGACAGATGAGCCAAGTGAGCATTACCAAGATTCTTAAGCCCTTAAGGAACCCATAGTTTATGTTTAACTCACTCTTGGTTCAAATCAATATGCATTTTGCAAATAACATCTTTATTTCAAACACCCTGAATGGCACAGCCCTCTACCCTCGGGCTGGCCCCAGGTGGGAGCTGGTATGCGGTAACTGGGCCTTAGCTCCTAAGGGCTCAGAGCTCTTGCGGTGTGTAGCCCACAGCAGTATCTACTAGGAGCACTTCTTCCTTAGCAATTAAGTGTTTCTGAAGCAGGGCCCAAGCAGGGACTGCCTCCATTTTGAGGAGGTGGATTTTTGCACTGTCTTTGTCTTGTTTTATGTCCTCCAGAACACGGAGACCAGTCTGACCAGCAACTCCACCTCCCATCAATGGGGACATCTAGAAGAAAGAAGGTCAGCGGACATTAATTAGCCCTTGTTACACCTGGTGCCCTATGGAGGGGTGGGGCATATAAGCCAAAACGCTTTGGGAGTCTGCTCTCATCTCCTCCCTCTAGTCACCTGTCCTTCTTGCACACCATTGTACTTGCCATGCTCCCTTCTACCACAGGGCCTTTGCAGATGCTGTTTCCCTGGCCGAGAATACACTTTCCTCCTCTATTCATCTGGTCAATCCCCTTCACCCTTCAGATCCCCATTTAAGTATTGTTTCTGCAGGGAAACCTCCCTGACCTCTAACTCCCCACCAATTCTTCATATTTTAAGCTCTTGGGGGCATTTTATAGCAGTTACAACTAAAAGTTTAAAAGTATTTATGGGACAAATTCAAATGATGTAGGTCTTTCTTGCTAAACAGCAGTCCCCATGATGACAGGATCTATACCTGATTTGCTCACCACTGAACCCTAGCACGTAAGCCGGCACATAGGAGGCCTTTGGTAAACATCTGTTGAATGACTGGCTCTCAGCTTCGTCACTTCCCAGCTACAGGATGCTGGGTAGTTTACTTCTTGTCGGTGTATAACCTAGGAGCTCTGTGATCTACTGTGAGCATCGTGTGTTATATGAAATAGTAACGAACAATGCACTCTCCCCTCCCTGACACTTGCCTTTCCCTTGAGGATTTTTTGGTCGTTGATGAGATTGACAAGTAATTGATTCCATCCACTATGATATATCAGGTGTCTGGCTGAGCCTCTGATGGACAGTATAATTCCACATGCATTTCTTAGTATCTCTGGGCCTGCCCACTCATAAAATGAGAAGGCTCCAGTAGGAGGTGTCCAGGGTCTCCTCCAACCAGGAGAAAAATCCTATGGTTGTGCACTACACTCTGGAGGTATAGCACTGTGGGGGGCCCGGTGGCGATGTGGCAGGGGGTGGGGTGGGTGAGTAAGAACAACCCTGAGCATTTCACTGGGGAGAACAGTGCAGGCAGGAGTCAAAAGCAAAGGCTGTGGCAGACACACTGGACCCAAACCTGTGGTCCTACACTTATTCTGTAACCACCGGGCAAATTCATTAGTGACCCCCAGCATCTCAGTTTCTTCATCAATAAAATGGAGATATTGATAGTACCTACTTTGTGATGTTGTGGTGAGGACCAAAGGATCTAATGTTGTAAAATACAAAGGAACACTGTTCCTTTTGCTTTAAAACAAACCAACATTTATTTTGCTCTTACAATGTGTTAGGCATTATTCTAAGGGCTTTATATATGTTTCATGAGAAACTCAAGACAGCTCTAGGAGGTAGTTAATATCCTCATCTCCATTTTACAGATGAGGGAACTGAGGCACCAAGAGGTCACGTAAGTTGTTAAGGTCACAGTTACTGAATGATAGAGATGAAACTCAAACCCACTGAGTCTGAGCACTCAGCAAGGTGCCCGATACATAGCAGTACATTGTTTTTACTGGATGTGTTGTTTTCCTTTTTTAGCGGTATCACCAAAACGAAAAGAAAGGGAAGGGAAGGAGTCAGGGGTGGGGGATATTGAGAACTCAGATAATAAACTGGACAAAGAATTTGAGAGCTGGAAAGGATCTTAATGATAGCCTAGTCTTTTGTTTCTTAATTCAGCCCCTACCACTGAGCAGCAACTACACTGGGCCACAGGGACACAGAGATAAATGGAACATGATCTCTGCTTACACACATAGGGGAGACAGACACACACAATATCCAAAATATAATATGCTAAGAGCTATAATAGGCATATGTTCAAAGTGCTATGGAGCGCATAGGAGGAATTAACTAATTTTACTCAGGGGGGGAGGGTTAGAACTTTTTTTTTTTTTTTTTTTTTTACAAAAGAGGGGCATCTATGCTGGATTTTGAGGGCTGAATAAAAGCTCAGTTAAAAAAAAAAAGAAGAAGGTAAGCATTCCAGAATGATTCAAAGAAACGACTTGCAAATGCCATGCACTAATAGTCTTATGACTCGAAACACTCTTAGGTATGAAAACAATGAAATATAAAATCAGGAGCCAGGATGGACCTCAAATTTCATAGTACCCATCTCCCAACCCAACATCTCCAATGCTCTTCTTGCCCTTTTGAATTATCCTCTGGAATTCCCTAGATTTCCCTTTGCTGACCAACTCTCAAAGACTCCTTACTTTTCTCGTGGGTGACCTCGCAGGCTGTTCCCTGGAATCCAATAGGACAGATGCAGTCACAGCGTGATTCTGGAAAGACAAATTCAGAGAGAGTGTGAATCATACCATGTGAAACAGAACCCCCGAGTTCAGCCCTCCACATCAAAGTGGTGACACTTTGCTATTAGATTAAAATAGGAGAAACATTTAGTTGAACAGTTTAAGAGAAGAAGGTTCAGGGCCAAGAATACCTATTCCTTCCTTGAGGGCCTTCTGCTCATGAAGGGTGTTTATTGCCATCATGGGGAATCACACGGTGTTGCTGAGGAAAATTACTCGTGAGCTGACATTTGACCCAGCCTTGTAAGTTTCCAGTTTTAAGAAGCTACATTACTGGTCACTGAGGTCACTGGTCATTGGTGCTCAGTTTCACCCTGGGGCATTTAATTGTCCAGCCTTCCTAGTAATGGGGAACTCACTGTCCTCATAAGTTTCATCCCACGTTTGGCCAGTTCTGACCCTTTGGAAGTTATTTATGTTAACCCGTAACTTCTCACCCAAGAGTTACTCTCACCTGGATCACACAGAATCCCTTCACAAGATTATCTTTTCTAAGGCAGGCCCAGGAACACCCCAGTCTCTGGCTTCATATTCTCCTTCACACCAGTGCACATCCTCAGATGGGCTCCAGTTCCCAGGTCCAAATTTCACACAGAGGCAAGGGGATTTCAGCAACCCTCGATCAAGACCTTGAGCTGATGGGCTGACCCCACTTCTTGCTGACCACATCCCCACTTAGGTGCCCCCATTCTGATGGCAGAACTTCCCAGCCTTAGGCTCTCACTGATCTCTGCTTTGCTCCCACCCACCCTGTCCAAGAAGCTAGACACATACTCCTCAGTCTCTGTTGGGAATGGGGTTTCTCCTGTGTCCCCTCTGTTGAGCTGCTCTATCCACATAGGTTCTGCCCTAACTCCAGGTGGCTCCCTCCCTGGGTGGGGATCTGCTGTACCCAATTGCTCCTGATACCTTATTTTGGCTTCCTGCTGGACTGGACCTTTCCTCAGTCATCACCACTAAAGTGTAAGATCCCAGGCCTCAGACAACCCCAAATTTGCTCTGCCCATTGCAGTGACCCCAGATATGGCCCTTAAAGTTAGGAATCAAGTTCAAGTGGCCCATCCTTGCTGCCACTCCCTCCAACCGCCCCCCGTCCCCCATCCCCCAATCTTCTCACCATGTACTGGTCAGGACGTGCAGAGCCCAGGGCCTCTTATTCGGCCCAGAGAGGTTTCCCAAGTCCATTCCCACCCCTTGTTGCAGACGGCACATTCTCAGCCTGCTCCTCTGGTTTTATGCTGCTGGAACCTAGGTATTCGGGCGGCCAGAGTAGCATGACCTAGTTGCCTACATTCTGACTTCTTGGGAAATAGACTGATACTTGTTCTAATGCTCGGTACACTTCAGTGTAACTCTTTGGTCAGGTCTAGCCCTCCCACTAGTTTATAAGCTAGTGAAATCATGGATCCCATGTGCCAGTGAATTCAGCTGTAGATCAGCTTCTCAGCCCTGACTCCACAGTGCAATCATCTGGTAGGCTTTTTCAAAGGCCAATCCCAGTGATTCACTTTAATTGTTCTGGGTGAGGCCCAGGATTCTCCCCTGCAGCCCAGGCTGAGATTTGCCGTGGAGGAACATCATGCTCTTTGCCCAGGAGTTGCACCTGAGCACGGGGGGGCGGGGCGCCCTTTGTCCAATCCCACCTCATTGTGCTCCAGGGAGGTGGGGACTTAAGCAGTTATGAGTCTCAGCCAGGCTGCAGATTAGAACTACCTGGAGAGGGTTCACCCGTCCTGATGAGGGGCCTTCTTGAGAGTCACATAATCCAGGTGGGGGCTTGAGCATCAGTAGCTCTGAAGGTCTCAGGTAGTTCTAATGTCTGATCAGGGTGGAGAAGCTCAGTTTAAGAGGCTCCAAATGCCTAGGGGGTTCTTTTTTCCCCTGACAAAATGAAGAGGGCTTTATGACAGTCCTTGGGGCCTCCAGAAAAGGACTAGGGATTGACGTAGAACTCTTCTTGAGATACCCTGGAGGGTATGTGGATTCGATGATGTGTTCTGGCCCCAGCACCAGCCCCTCCAGATGATGTCTTCCACAGGGACGCCAACTGCCTGGAAATGGTACCTTTCAGGACAGGGACTCCATTCCCTTGACAGGGAGCACAGTGGCAGGGGCTGACTTCCTTCTGGAACTCCTCCAGAGCCCGCTTCATGTTCTGCCTTATTGTGCTGGAGTAGGCAAAGTCCGTGGCCGTCACTAGTTCATACAGAGGCTCTGCCTGGGGAGCAGAAAGGCATGCATTTCAACAGAAGACAGTCATCAAACAGAAGGGCAAAGCAAGGTTTCACAGGAATGAACAAGGGGCCGGGGCATGGAGACAAGTGGATTCATCTGGCACTGGATGGACACCCAGTATGTAGATGGATGCCCCATCCTCAGTCTGTCCCACCCCACCCAATATCCACAAATAAGCTCATTTGAGTTCAGGTCAACTCTTACTGAATACCTCCTAAGTGCCAAGCACTAAGCACAGGTAATGAGTAAGATAAAATCCACAGGAATCCAGAGAGAGAGAGCGAGAGGTACTTAGAGCACAGCAGTTATAGGCATGTGTGCAAACTTGGAATGGGGGCAAAGGAGCAGGCGGTTAATCTGTCTTTGGTGGGGGAGAGGAGGTGATTTCCAAGCCGCTCTTTGAAACTATTATAGGAGCTTTGTCCCAACATTGCCTCCCCCCTCCGCCCAGTAGTTGGCAAAATCATTCACATCACGCAAGAGCCACCATCATGAAGCCTTTCCCCGAGCTCCAAAGTTCACAGAACCCCTTCCCACCAGGAAGTGCTCAGCATACAATCCAGTGCTCATCCGATACAAATTCTACTTGCAGTCATTCATTTTTTTTCATGAGTTGAAATCTCCTTTTTTCCTTCTTGAGTTAGAAGGTAAGCTGCTGGAGATCAGGGCTATATACTGTCAGCTCTGAGTCTCTGGGGTCTAGCCCCAAGTGTCGTGAGAACAGCTATTAAAAGTGTATGGGCAAGGCGCCTGGGTGGCTCAGTCAGTTAAGCGTCTGCCTTCGGCTCAGGTCATGATCCCAGGGTCCTGGGATCGAGTCCCACGTTGGGCTCCCCTTGCTCATGCGCGTGTGCTCTCTCTCTCAAATAAATAAAATCTAAAAAAAAAAAAGTGGATGGGCAAATGAATGGAGGATGGGAGGCCTCATCAGGGCCACAGCAGCTGGCCCAGAGGAGAGGGGGTGGACAGCAGAGACCTAGACGCAGACAGAGCGCTGCTGGTCTCCCGTGGGCAGGGCGTGTTTTCACAAGAGGAAGCCACAGACGAGTGTGGTGGTGCTGACGGGCTAGGAAAAGTCTGAGGTAAAGTGCAAAGAAGTAGTTAAAAATGTTCAGAGCCTCTTGGCCCTAGTTTCAGCTCCAGGGCCAGGTTCCTCTCCAGGTTTTGTCTGTGATCCTGCCCTAATCCAGTGCTGGACAGTTTAGGGTCTAAATGCAGGCAATCATGCCTAATAGAAGCCTCCAGTGGGAAGAAAATTGCTTCCATTTCTTAATGCATCTGCTGCTGACCTTCACTCCAGTGGGCAAAGCAAGGCCCCTTGGTGGTCCCATTGTCTCACCGTTTTGCGGTCAATGAATTGATCCAGAGGCGGTTTACGGAACGGTCCAGCCTGCTGGCCACACGTGGGGGAGGAATGGGAGGGAAGTGGGGGGGGGGTTGCTGTTCACGAGTATGAGCTTCTCAGACAATCTGCATTCCCTGCTGGAGCACCTTGAAAGGCTGCCTTTAACCCCCCAGGCATTCTCCTACCAGCACTGAGATTGGCTCCAGGAGAGAGAGCAAGTCAGTGGCAGAACTGGAATAAATGTCGGAGACGTGTATTGTGCGCCAGAAGCCGGGGCTGGTGGTTGACAAACGTGATTCCACTCCATCCTCACAAGGTAGCAACTGTTAGCCCTGCTTTCAGATGAGGTTAAGTGACTTGAACAACGTCAAAGAACTCGTTAACTAGTATTGCCAGGATTCTGACCCAAAGCTTTTGCTTTTCCAACTAGTTCATGATAATTATTGATAAAAATGGCTTGACTCTTCCCATTTCCAATTTCTTTGCCAGTGTTCTCCAAAGTTTGCAGACTGCGGTTTGCCTTGGGACCGAGCAGCAACTCCTAGACCCCACAGCTCCCTTTTAATTCTATGGTAGTAGGGCATCATTGTCCCTTCTTTCATTTGCTGCCCCCCATCTTTCTTTCTCTCTCTTTTCTCCTCTTCTTCCTCTCTCCCTCCCTCTTTCTTCCTTATTTCTCCCCCAAATACACAGTCTTACCTACTCATATTGACCACCGGGTCCTAAGCACACTTGCCCATGAGAAAATTTTATTTATCATTTTTGGCAAATGATAAATTTGCTGAATTTGCAGCTGATCAGTTGGTAAGCAGTGATAATCACACCTTTCTAATGGTGTGACCATCATACCTTTCCAAAGCAACATACTCAAAGATTCTGGAAAGGCAAATGACTCTGACCAAGAGAAGGTTTAACATACAGAGGTTGTGGTAACATTACCTGGTAAGATAATGTCACACTTGGGCTGTTGGACTCACTACTTATTAAAGTCCATGCAGTTCCCTGTAATGGACCCTGGTAATCACCATTCTTCTTCTTCTCCTTTATTTTATTTTATTTATTTATTCTTTTTTTTTTTTTTCTTTAGAGAGAGAGAGCAGGGGGACAAGTGGCAGAGGGAGAGGGAGAGAGAGTATCCTCAAGCAGATTCCACACCCAGCACGGAACTCGATGCAGGGCTCGACCTCACAGCTCTGAGATCATGACCTGAGCCAAAATCAAGAGTCGGACGCTGAACTGACGGAGCCACCCAGGCGCCCCAGGTGATCACCATTCTTAATGATAACAAATAATTATTGCACTAGCAGCAGTGATTAGGTGCCAAACTAAATACATACATGATCTAACTTAATCTTTACAACAATCCTATGAGGCAGGTGGTCTTCTGTAGCCCCATTTTACAGATGAAAATGCTGAGGCACAGAAAATTTAAATGGAGAGACCAGAGTCACACAGTCAGTAAGTGGCAGAAAAGGATTTGAACTGTTAGCACTGTGGTTTTGTCCTTTCAGTGTATGTTTTTGGATAGTTAAACGGGCAGATATTTATACCAAGTTGGTGGCATAAGAAAAGTGCAGTTGTGTTTTCCACTTAACCTCACTTAATATCCTATTATGAGCATTTTCCCATGCCATTCAATATTTTCTAATAAAATATTTTAGGGCTGCATAGAACCCTGTTGTACGGATGAACAACAAGGTATTCACCTCTTCTCTTGTTATGTCTTTGTTTCCTTTTTTCTTTTCTTTTGCTACTACAAGTAACGTGAAAGAAGGCATCGTTTTATGCATACATCCTTACCAACTTTTAAAATGATTCCTTTAGTTGATTATTGCGGCTGAAGTTATTGGATCAAAAGCTACAAATGTTTCTAATATTCTGGATATAGATGGTTACATTCTTTTCCTAAACTGTTGTATCAACTTCTCTTCTCATCTCATTTTATACAATGTCCATCTCATCTCTCTCACTGACATTGAGCATTACAGATTTTTAAACATTGTCAATTTGATGTTGTTACTTTGATTTTCATTTTTTATTCCTAGAAAAGTGCAACATTTTGCATATATATTCACCATCATAGTTCTGTAAGTTGTCTCTTTCCTTTGAGATGTGCCTTTCTTACAAATTCTATCATTCCTTGTACATTAAGGATTTCATCTGTGGCAAAATTATTTTGTTGGTGTGTTATCTGTCATTTAATTATATTCATGGTTTCCTTATTTGAAATTCAGAATTTATTTTGGTGGGTGAGATCCAACAGCCCAAGTCTGACATTATCTTACCAGGTAATGTTACCACAACCTCTGTATGTTAAACCTTCTCTTGGTCAGAGTCATTTGCCTTTCCAGAATCTTTGAGTATGTTGCTTTAGAAAGGTATGATGGTCACACCATTAGAAAGGTGTGATTATCACTGCTTACCAACTGATCAGCTGCTTTTCTTTCTGGGTACATAGCAGGGCTGCAATCCCCTGACATCCTTAAGGGTAGGTTTGCAGCGTGACCTGTTTTGAGCAGTGAGCAGAGGGAGGGTCCTTTCCAGGGTGAAGCTTTCAGGACAGAGTGAGGTCACATTTCCCCTTCCCTTACCACTGCTGTGGTGATCTTGGGAGCACATTACCACATAAAGCCTCCATCACCTGGGTCCCTGAAGAGCACCACCAATAGTCCCCTCCTTAATATGCTTTGGACATGTTGTGTGATTGAGAAATAAACTTTTGGTGTACTAAGCCACTAAGATTTGGGACTTTTTTTTTTTTTTAACTGAAGCATAACCAAGTCCTTCCTGACCTCTACGTGAGCACCATTCACAACTATATCTTTTCCTTCTACCCTGGGCAACGCCTAAGCTCTGTATAATAGCATCTCCATCAGCCTGGACGTCAGACCACAACCCAGCCACCCTGACTACTGATAGAAATGTATGTGGATGGTAGAGGAAGTGACTAGGATTGCCAGTCAAATACAGAATGCCCAGCTAAAGTTGAATTTTAGATAAACAACCAATAATTGTGTAGTATGAGGATGTCCCATGAAATATTTGGGGGATGCTCATACTAAAAAGTTATCCATTATTTGTCTGAAATTCGAATTTAACTGGACATCCTGCCTCTTCATTTGCCAAATCTAGCAAACTCTTTTTGTGATTCCTTTAACCATTCAGAATGTCTTTGGGATTTTTCCTCTATCAGTGACCTTTTCATTGGTCCCTGAGCTTTGCCTTCATGACATCATGGTTGTCACTCCACTGTCTTTAAATCATTTAGTGTTGCAAAGAATTCTAAGACCAGGACAACTTTTATTTTTGTAAGATATGTTTGTTTCTAAAAGTAAAAAAAAAAATTACTAGGATGTGTTTCAGTATTGTTTTGTTTTCAGTACTTTTGCTTACTTTTCAATGAGTTCTCCATTTTGCGTTATCAGCTCAGGGAAGTATCTCTTATTATGTCCATGATTAATGCATCTTCAAATTTAATCTTGTCTCTTTCTCAGGAAGAAGTCTTTGAATTTTCGATTTCTCCTCTACTCTATTTCCATCATATTTCTTTTATGTCATTGTTTTAATCTCTTGGTCTTTTGCTTCTACATGATAAGAACATTTTTATGGCACCTTCCATATCACTGACTCAATTTTCTGCAGTGTCAATTC